GTACTGTATTTACAAAAAATATATATGGGGGATTGGAAATGGTGAAGACAATTACATTGATGGAAGCTACAATCTATCTGCAATATTGAAGCTGATCTACCCCCTAAATTTGTTAAATAAAAATAAATAAAAACAGCATCAGTAAGTGTCCCACACGAGTGATGACTGCTCACCTCCAACGCTTGGAAGAGCACTTTGGGACCTACTTCCCAATCCGTTTGACTGTAATCTTGGCTCAGTTGACATGCCGGTAAGTGAAATCGAACAGCTGATCGAGCTGTCATGTGACCGAATGCTGCTGACAACTACGAAGGAGTTTTGGTTCCTGACTCAAAGGGAATAATATCCTGCCGTCTCCCTCTGAGCATTAATGCCTCGTTCAAAACAACTGGGAACTGGGAACTCAAAAATCTCCGACCTCCGACGAAAAATCGTTTTGAAAGGTCATCCAACTCAGAATTCCAACTCAGGAACTCTGGCCTCTTTCTAGAGCTCCGAGTTCCCAGTTGTCTTAAAAGCACCACAAAACTCATGGTAGGCTACCCTTCGCCAGCTCATATCTGTGTGGAGCTGGATTCAGAGCTCTCGTCTGCATTAAAACCAAATATCGATCCAGGTTGGATGTGACAGCAAAGATGAGGTGCGCACTGTCGACCACGCCCCCTGACTTTGAGAAACTTCGACGCAACATGCATCAAGCCACACCCATCTCATTAGTGGTAGTGAGATAAGAGACATTATGTCAGACTAATTTGCAATTGACTATCATTGCCCCACATTAAAAGGATGTGATGGTGAGTTGAGAAGACAATCAGAAATACTGTTAGAATGTTTTTCAATTGACTGCCATTGCCCCAAATAAAAAATAAAAGATTGGCTGTTAATTACATAACTTTTTTCACATGGTTGTGGTCGTGAGAATGTTCAGATATCAAAATGGGGGTCGTGGAACCCCTGCTTTAGATATATAAACGATTTCCCATTCATTTGCGATTGACACATATAATACAGTAATAACAATAGCTGGATCTAAACAACAGATAGCATGGGACAGATGGCATGTTCACCTAATTTCCTTTATGTTACAAAACATGCATTGTATGGTGTAGACAGAAATTGCTGTGAAATATATTTTCAATAATGCCAAATATTGTATTTTTAGCTGTTTGAAGCTGGTGTACAAAACCAAAAGTAAAAAGACGCAAAAACAAAACTTAAGAAGGGGAAGCCAAAATAGCACACATAAAAAGGACCTACCGCTTATCAGACTTGCTTTTAATGAGAATGACAGGTCTATAACTCACATTTCTATGTGTATTTGGATGGGTCGAGCACAAAGCTACATACCGCACCTTTAAAGGTTCATAAACATTTGACAAACGTTAGATTTTCTAACAAACTATCACTTTAACACAGTAATAACTGATGAATTTGTTCCAGTACCCCATGTTTGAGTTGGACATTGTCTTTGCTCAATCAAAATACCTTGAAAAGCACAAATCTATTCAGCTCTATAGACTGTAACATCTTGGAGCAATACTGCTCCAGTCTAACATTGAAATTAGCATAGCTTGATAATGATTGAATCAGCAGCCATCAGGCTGAGGAGAAGACAGCCCTGAAAGTTTGTTTCCATGACAACAGTAGAATTAAGGGGCGCAGGAGCGCAATCCCAAAATGACACATTTGAATCGAGCCTAAATTATATGATAAATCACCTTCAATGATTTGATACTGGGCGCTCTCTCATACATAAAGGATACTACCTGAAATCTGGGGGAGGGGGTAGAAAAAGTTATACTCTACATGAAATCAAGTCTTTTTGGGGATGTTGTTATCAGGGGAAGAATACAAGGTTATCAACAAGAACACAGCGGTACAATAAATAGGTGAAAGCTTTTGATAACGTATTTTATTCTTAAACAATCACTAACTTCATTCTGATTTTAAATATCAATGCATTTTTTTCATCTCACAATTCATAATGCATATATGCGTGTGTTCCATTTACGGTGAAATCATTTGCAAACTTAAACATAAATATAATATCCCTTTACACAGTATTGAGCCCCTGCGCTGTCCCTCTGGCATTTTCATTTCATTTTGTCCCCCAAAAGTGCTCTCTTTGTTCACTCCCATATCCCCCATTTACTCTCACTCCTTATTCTCAACACATCCTTTCTGTCCCTCTTCTCTGCCAGAAGGTTATGTAAAGTACATCCATGTTTCATGCACTGCTTCGTTGCATTCTACCCCCCCAACCCCACTTGAGCCCCTTCCAAGTTGTATGAAGTTGATGCTGATCTAAGGTCAGTTTTGCGTCCCTATCCCCTAATGGTTAAGGTTAGAACTGAGGGAGAGTAAGCTGATCCTAGATATGTGCCTTTGAGCTACTTAAACTGGAGCAACTACTGCAGAACTGAGCCCCACTCTCTCCTGACCCCAGTGGAAGACTTGTGCTGGTCTTCTGCCATGACCTGCCACAGTTACTGGAGGATGTGTCTGACCTGACATCCCCTACCTCATGCCCTGGCCAGATCCCAAGACTTCCAGACCCCCCACTCTGCCACCAACACCCCTGACCCAACCCCCCCAAGACCACACCTTTGGCCAGGCTTTGTGCATTAGGTGCTGGGCAAGGGTGGCCCGCCTTGTTGTCAGACTCCGTTCATTAGACTGGAGTGGGACTTCCTGAGTTAGACGAACAATAGGATCAGTGGACACAGCGACTTCTCTATCTTGGTGATGGGGGAGATTCCTTCCTGCCTTGCCTACTGGTTTAACCAGCCTTTTTACTCTTTGTATATACAGCCGCTCTCCTACATTTGATTTATGAAATGGCGGGGGCTCATTTCCACAATGCAGCAATCGGCTAATTTCATGGCTCACAAAACCTACTGAGATGGAAGCCATTGGGATGCCAGCCTGGAAGTACAAAACAGTGAAATATTTACAGACTCTCAGGGCAAACGCACCTTCCGGCGTCCAAATGTTGTTTTTGTGGGTTTTGGATGGCTGGGCTCCTTCCCGTTGAATTGTGGTAGGTTATTATTGATTACAGTGTCGTAGGTGAAAGGGTAATGACAGAAGAGGAGTGCCTCACAGGGGCTTCGTCCAAAATATATATCCCTCATGGCCACAGATATAAAGAGACAAATTACATAGAATGAATACGCCATCAACCAATTATTGTGACATTTCTAGTCTGCTCAGTGTACTGACAACGAAGATGAAGACACAAGGAGAGGAAACTTCTTAAGAGTATTGGGACGAATACTTGGACAGCTTTCACAATCACCTTAGCCCCAAGCAGCCTGAGTCTGCTGAGCCCTTACACAAGCCACAACAACGTGCCTTCCCAAGGACATTTTTATGATTTATTTGTACCGACTAAAAGGATTCTCTGACGCACTTCAAACAAAGTCTTTGTCAAAGCTCATACAGAGGTGAAGTAGACCTGTTCCAAATAATCACGAAAGAATCCTTGATTGGTGGATGCTAGTCAAGTTTCCCTCTGTTTTTTGGAGAGAATATTACATTTTCCCCCTAGAATTGGCCAACCCAGACCTTATTAGAGAAAAATACCCTTATTAGTGCTGGCACACCAAACAAAAACAACCTGAAGCTCTATCAACCTTTTTTCCTCCTGGCTATACCCACTTTGCCAGAGTATTGATACTCTTACCAGGCTATCCTTTCTTTTCTCTTTTCCCTCTTGACCATTAAGTTCATAGGACTGGATCATTGAGAGTAATGGTGCGTTCGAATGGTCCTCGGAATCTATTATTTCCCAGTTGGTGAAGTTGTAAATACGACATGAATGCTTTCAAGTGGTTTTGAAGTCGGAATAACTCTTCAACCAATTACATTCTTGCTAGATGGCTAATCTAGCTAACGTTGCTTATGTTGACAATATGTCAAACTATATACTGTATGGATCCACCTAGCTACATTCATCAGATGGTTAAGGTTGTAAATGGCTTTCTTTTACCATCTAGTGGTCGAAAAGGTGAAAGGTCAGTGATGAAACGTCACACCTTGTAAACTCGAGTATCTTCATTCCGGACCGTGTTTCCCACTTGTAACTCAGCTTTTGATGGTCGTTCAGTTGTTATTTCTGGGTCGGGAACCCGTATTTCCAAATTACCAACAGCACTCGAACGCACCATAATATGTTAGAGGCCTACTATGAGGCTTGGTGCAGTAGCCGCCATTTTGCTTTTAGTTGTCTAGTCCTGTCATATCAAAGAGTATGAGGAGATAGGAAAGGAATCCAAATTACAGAGTATTGAGATCCACCCAACCTATTCCACACCGACAGTACATCACCTGAGCAAAAGCCATCCCACCCACCCATTCCTTTCGAGCCCACCAACGAGTTCTCATATATATTCATTCTTTACCCTCACACAAGTGTATGCAGTGTGAAAGTGCATTCACTGTCAAGCAATAAAAAACACCAACAATTTTTCAAATGTCTACAGTCTCAAACAAAAAACAGAATACCCATGATATTAAATTGGGATGAAGAGTTATCAACACATAAGTAATATTGTTATTATTGGACAACAGTAACACAATTAAGCATGTGAGGGTGCCCTAGCATTCATAAAATCAATGCATGGGAAATTGAACGTCTTTAAAGCTCATTTTTCACAGCTTAAATTGGAAACGATAGATATTTGTATTGTGAAGAGACCACCATTCCTTTGTCACAGCTTTTTTTTTCTTTTTTGCATAAAACGTAGGTCAACTCCTGATTGAAAATGTTTGTTGTTGTTTTTTTGTTTTCCTCTGGGTTTATCTTGATATTCGTCTAAAAGATTTTCACAGGCAAGAGTTCAGTTTTTTGTCATCTTGGGTGTAGCTCCTCCCCCTCGTGGTGGTCCATCCCTTCAGAGGGCATGGTGGTGAGGGGGGTCTGTAGCCCCTCCCCCTCTATTTAAGAGAGGGGGGGGGGCAGGCCCCCCTAGTGGCCCCCCACCCTTGGGGCCCTGCTGCTAGGAGTTCTGGTTGACAGCTTTCCCTCCGTTCATGGTGGGAGTCCCTGAGCTCTTCCTGGAGCGCTGTTTCTCCTCGATCTCATGCAGTGACGGCTCCCTGTACATACACACTGCAGACAGTGTATGTAGTAGAGGATGAAGCAGGAAGCAGGGGGGGATAGAGGAGAACATGGAGGACAAATAATGAGGAGATGAATGGGCAAACAGAGAGACAAAGTCAGATCGAGCTCAGGGACTCCCACAGAGTGTAGGAAGTTGCTCTTGGAACCTGTTTTGGAATAAAATATTAAGTATCTGTCCTTAAAAATGTAACTTCCTGTGTTGGATCGTTACTCTTTCACCATTGGTATGTTTTAGGTCATTTTGAGACCTCAGGTACTGCTGGAATGTCTAATGGCATGTCCAGCTTTTTGGGAGGAATTACTCAGGTCCTTTATAAACAGGTTGTTTACAAAGTATAGATAGTACTTGCTTTAGATCAGGTAGCCTATTGCAAAAGTCTAATATAGATAAGTATCTATATTTAACACCTTTTACATGTCCTTATAAACCAGCAATACATCATTTAAAAAGGTGTTTATAAATGCATGAATAACTAGCTTTCTGACATTTAAAAATATAGGAATAATGATTAATAAAATGGTGGGCAGACTATTTCTAAATAACTTATAAATGATTTATTACTGGATATAATTATAAAGCGTTACCCACTTTTGTGAGTATTTCATTTGTGCCATTGTGCAAAGTAAATCAAATACAGCTAAAGTATTTGACAACAACATAGGTCCAACATTATTCCCCATGTTTATAAAACTTTTTGTACTTAATATTAGCATGAGGAAAACTGTAGCGGCAGTGTGAGGAAATGCAATTTTTTAAATGAGTACACACTCTAATAATGTTGTGTATATCACATAAAAGCGTTTCATTTATAAATCATGAAATGTCATGCAAATCCAAGTAAATCACTTATTTCCAACGTCAAGTTTAAGATTTATAAATCACCATGTTGTTGTGGATTTCATCGTACGCACAATGTACGATCAAGTCTGTGCATGAAAATGTTTTTTAAACGAGGCCCCTGATTTCACCATATAGGGCTTCAACCAACTTACTCCAGGCGATCAAAACCTGCAAAAGACAATACACAGATGAGATGGCAGACACATTCAGATACCTTACCTTCAATGGGCCTGGGGACAAAGTGTGAGGAGGGCTTGGTTTTCTTGACCCTGTTCCCCTTCATGACCTGACCTTCCTTGGTGAGGCCTAGGAACCAGGCCCGACCGGACTCCTGCTGCCGGTACACAGTGGACGAGTAGATCACGTAGTAATTCTCAAACACCGACTCCTTAAACTTGCACTCCGGCGTGAACATTTCCTGTTTTGGTGCCAAACAACAAAGGGAGTTTGTTGTTAGAGTAATGTTCATGAAGTCGGATCAAAGTTCAGGAAGTCGGATCATGTTCAGTAGGGAACATCGTCGCAAAACGTTTTGCAACCGAAAATGGAAATCTGTGTTCTTATTAGACAAAGTCAGATTTCACTCTCACGTTTCAAACTGTTTTCTCCCCACTGAACATGACAAGGCAAGTGAGGGTTATTGTGGTAACGAGATGGTTTGAGTTACGAGACGGTGGTGATGGTGATCCACACGCCGTACGACAGACAAACGGACACAGGTCAACAGATGAAGGAGAGATGGGCGGAATAGACGAGCCTATGAGAAATCGCTTTGGATTATATTGTTTTGAGGATGATATTGGGTAGAAGGCACTGCCGTCACTCAAATCCAACAAAACTCCAGTGCCAAATGGAGATGGAACTAGCTACTGTATGTGTAATGACAAGGTGTGGTTGGGTTATCTTGGATTGGCGTATCAGACTGTGTATGGTCCAGGTGAATGAGTTTGTTTGGAACTGCTGGGCTAAGTGATTCAGCAGTGTGTGTGTGTGTTTGGTGATATTTCATTCATCTCTGTCTCCTTCAGGGTTATGTGCCCTTTTAAGGATGTCCCTTTGACTGACAGCCCAATTCTGCTCACCGCTGGAGATGTTCCACAGGCGAACTTTGTTTGTTTGTGTGTGTGTGTGTGTGTGACAGAGAGAGAGAGAGAGAGAGAGAGAGAGAGAGAGAGAGAGAGAGAGAGAGAGAGAGAGAGAGAGAGAGAGAGAGAGAGAGAGAGAGAGAGAGAGAGAGAGAGAGAGAGAATGTGTGTGTGTGTGTGTGTGTGTGTTAGAGTCCGAGAGAGATGCATGTTTGTGCATTCAAGCCTGAATATTCATATTTAATATGTGAATAGGCGAGACTGTATCGCACTATCTCACACTGTTTGTGTGAGTGCTCGTTTATAACACCTATACGGTTTTCGACACGCGGCGGCAGTGTGAAGGACTCTGGGTACGTGTGGGGCATGTAAGCCGGTCAGCAGGGGTGTGACCGTGGATAGGCCGCAGTGAGGAGTTAGAGAGGCCGGTTTTATCTGGACCTGATGACATGCTGTCAGAAAGCAGACGCCTCTCTATATGGGAGGTTGCGGGGTCACATCCCTCCTGTCCCACGGTGGGCGACTCAGCCAGGGTTCCTCCACCTCCATCTCCCTCTTTCCCATCTCTGCCAAGGTCCCCTCACACCTTGCTCCCACACCCCCGAACCACCCCTCCCTTTGTCAGCCACACTGACATATTCCGAAATCCCCTCCAAACTTGGCGACAAGGACATCACTCTATTAATGTCTGTTATGCCGGTAGCATAGCAGGGAAGGTTATACGTGCATAGGAGGCTTCGATGGGGGAATGATAGGAGGTGTGTATGGTATTTATTATTTTGTGTGGTTGAATGGATAGTGAATAGGATGGTGATAGAGGTGTGAGATTGTAAGGACATGAGCGTAAACGGACACAGGTCTTTGTGCCGTGCTAACAGTTGGCTCCTCTGCCAGGAATGCATAATGAAGAGAAGCTGTTACTGGCTCACCGAGGAGGGTAAAAAAACACCCAACCATTTTTCAGAGTAACAAGCTGTGCTTAAAGAGAGTCAACTGATTAAAAGGACGCTCAATTATATTCAGCCCCGATTCTGAAGGAGAAGCAATTAACTCGTTATTGAAACTGAGGGGGCTCTCACGCGCCGGCATTAAGGGGCACTGGGGCAGGACAAACAAGCTGGGTGGGCTAGCCCGGAGCCCAGTGGAGAAACAGTGGAGAGCAAACAACTGGTAGATGCAGGAGGAGCAGATGTACACTCTTAGAATGAGTGTTGACTCGATGAACCCTAGAGTTCCTCAAGGAACCATTCCAGAAGGAACCCTGGACTGGAGGCGTGGCTTAGTAGGGGCGTGGCTTTCAGCTAGATATTTTTAGGTCACCGGTGGGAGTCATTCCTGTTCATCTGTTCTGTTGTATTGTCATCACATGTTAAGGTTGAACACTGACAGTTTTGTTGCTTCAATGAGCAAATCCCAAAATGTGAATAGTTACCACTTTATTACCATATGTAATCAGCAATGTTAATATTATATTAGTAGGGCGGCAGGTAGCTTAGTTAAGAGCGTTGTGCCAGTAACCGAAAGGTCGCTGGTTCTAATCCCCGAGCCGACTAGGTGAAAAATCTGTCGATGTGCCCTTGAGCAAGGCACTTAACCCTTATTGCTCCTGTAAGTCGCTCTGGATAAGAGCGTCTGCTAAATGACTAAAATAAATAAATAATAAAATATATTCAAATATGTAATATGTGTAAATATTCTAGGTAAATTGAAATTTGCAGTGTACAAACTTAACCTGATGAACAGGAATTACATTTACTCTAACTGGTGGCCAAAAAGAACTATCTGTAAGCCACGCCTCCAATAAGCCATGCCTCAAATCTTCTGATAGGCTGCCACCACTACAATATATTCTTTAAAAGGTTCAAAATTGATACCCTTCCATCAAAAAAAGGTTCCGGTTTGAACCTTTACACGGGGGTTCCTCAAGGAACCTTTTTGAACTGGAAAGGTTACTCCAGTGTCGCAATTTTTAGAACCCCAAATGGTTCTTCCAGGCTCCTTTAATTCTAAGAGTGCAGAGCACATAGACAGGACGGACAGACGAGAGATAGAAATAAAGCAGATAGAATGGACACAGAGTATACAAACAAGACCGAATGGTCTGTACATGCGGAGCTTCAACGTATATGTAAACAATAGTCCGACTGATGCGTAGATATACGCAGAGCATGTGGTGCGAACATGGTAGACCAAGCACACAGTAGGGGAAGAGAATGTAGAGTAGTTTGTGGACAGACAGAGTGATTTCAGTTCAGTTAAACAGACAGAGTCAATCCAGTTCAGTGTAAACAGATTAAAGGCCGGTATTCAATCCAACAGCGTGTTTTCGGCAATGTGCCTTTTAATGGCAATGTTCCCGCGTTGGCGAAGATCGCATTCACAGGAAACGCTGCATAGGTCGACTCAATCAGAAACAACGCGCGAACAGATTGAATCCCGGCCTAAGAGTGAATCCAGTTCAGTGTAAACAGACAGAGAGTGAATCCAGTTCACTCACCAATATAGCATTTTGTGTTACCTGACTAGCCCATACCTTTCCTCAGGCTTTGGAACTCCCCTTCTCATGTTGAAACCATACAGCAATTGAAACCACATCAGAATTTAAAGGCCCTTCAATTGAATCTGGATCTGAATCTAGATATGGTATGGGGGTTGTTCTATGTGTCTGACTCCCCTCTACTCGGTATCATTACTATTCCTAGTCCGGGCCTATACCACTCTAGTCTAGACAGCTACCTCAGTGACATTGGGAGTTCGGGAACGACAAAGAACCCAGAAAGAGGACATATATTACACAGTTAATGACCAAACACACACACCCACAAACGGACAGAAACACACATGAAAATGGACACACAGACAACGCACACTTGCACACACACACGAAAACAGACAAGCGCACACACAGACAGAACCCACACATGCACAAGGACACGTCCGTACATACAGAGACACACGCACGCACACACGCACACACTCACAAAAACACTCACAATTTACAGCAAGAACAAATATTTTTTATGGGGCTCCCTCTGAGTGAGAATTAAATGAACAATTATGTTCCAGTGTTCTCTGTCTAACAGAAGGCCACCCGGCTACATCTCATTAGTAGCCGCAACACAGTCTTAACGCTTTATCAGAATGCAGTGCCTGCACCTTCACAGTAATCCTCTCCATTCCACACACTCACATCAGTCTTTGGTTGGAAAACAGAGACACTGCACAGCACTCTCTCACAAAAAAATGATCTGTTCTCATTTGCGGTGTGGCGGCCCCGTCCCTAAAAAGAAAAACTGGAGTCCCGCCTTCCCCTACTCTCCACAGCTTCCACTCTATGGTTTTACTGCGGCACAATTTTTTGTCGCCGGCGGCACAGGCATAAATAAGAAGCAATGAAGTCAGTGGGCGATTGAGAGAAACAATGGGAACAATTTAGACACCATTTAAAAGGTCAGGTACAAAGGACAGAGGGCAGATGCAGGCCGGGATTATCAGCAGTGTGTAAATGTATGTGTGAGTGTGCACGCTCGTGCGATAGGTTGCACATAAACTGTAAGTGTGTACGCGCCCCTGTCCCTTAGTTAAAGATAGATGCGTTTAAAATACAGCGAGAGAGTGGTTACCGCTGTGCTGCAAAGTAGGTCACAGTGAGTGTTATAAATAATGGAGATCTCCTCACTGGAGCTGAACCCCCACGCACCCCAGCTCTCAACACCAGCTCTCAACACTCAACACCAGCATCACCCTCCAAACAAACACTCAAGTGAAGTCAAGGCTTGAAACCAAACCAACATCAGCATTGTTGATCATCGTTCTGGATTCCATCCATAGACTGTAGGACACCAACACTAGCTACAGTACTCAGCATCTGTACTACGTAATCTCACATCCATACTCTCAATACTTCCAACATATGCAGTACTCAAAATTACACACAAAAAGTTAACATCCTGATTTTGTTGATTTCTGTTGAAAAAGTTGAAAAAGTTGAAATCTAGTGGCCGTTTTATAGTGCTGAGCGATTAACCGGTTTTTAACCTCTTAAGGATCAGACCGTTCTTTTCAATTTCCGCCTAAAATGACATACTCAAATCTAACTGCCTGTAGCTCAGGACCTGAAGCAAGGATATGCATATTCTTGATACTATTTGAAAGGAAACACTTTGAAGTTTGTAGAGATGTGAAATTAATGTAGGAGAACATAACACAATAGATCTGGTAAAAGATAAAACAAACAAAAAAACATATGTTTTCTATTTTTATTAGATGATCTTTGACATGAAAAAGAAAAGCCATACATTCAGATAGGAAGCTGGAGGTAATTTAGATG